TTTCAGACCATCCTTTGTGGTTACTTTAGGTCTCTGAGTTTGCAAGACTACCTTTTAACAATTAGGGGGATTTTGCAAACATATAAAAATATGCAGTGAATATTCTTGTACTAAAAAGAGTTTTATCACTTGTTTTTACAGTTTGGATTCCCTGTGAGCAGACTCTGAGATGGAGATTAGTACTCAGGTTTATTGGGCTGTGCTCTTAATATCGAGCCAGGGAAAGAAAGGAAAGGAGGCAGGTTTGGCTTGAAAGAGGTGAGCTGTGGTGTCTCAGTGTATTTTTTTGAAAATATATTTTATTGATTTTTTTTTACAGAGAGGAAGGGAGAGGGATAGAGAGTTAATAACATCAATGAAAGAGAAACATCAACCAGCTGCCTCCTGCACACCCCCCCACCAGAGATGTGCCCACAACCAAGGTACATGCCCTTGACCGGAATCGAACCTGGGACCCTTCAGTCCTCAGACCAACGCTCTATCCATTGAGCCAAACCAGTTTCGGCAAATGTCTCATTGTATTTCAATGGGCTCCTGGGGCAGTTCCCAGATGGAATGAATGACCCTTCCAGAGCTATCCTGAATTGATATGAGGGGGCCTAGCTTTTATACCCCCCAATTGACTAGGCATTGGGTGTGTGCTTTCTTACTGGAAGACAGCAAGAGCTTGGGTAAGGCACTTCCCTCTGGCTGGGGCAGTCCTTCATGTCTATCACACTTAATCCTGCTTCATCTTCATCCCTTTCAATACCTCTTACCCCGTTTCCCTCTCCCCTTCTCCAAGTGCTGCTGAGCCCAGGCAGCATATCATTTTATCCAGAAACAATGCACTTCTACTTTCCTTTGAGTGATGTGTTTTAATACAATCTTGATTAGCCAGATTGACTAGAGAATGAAGTTTTCTGGTGAAAGGAATTTGTGGCAACTGAAGATGATGCAGAATAGTGACAAATATTTATTCATTAGGAATCACGAGATCTGCATATGCCTCTGAGCTCTGAGATAAGTTTACAGTGTGTTCTTGAGAGAGTTGCTAATGGATCTAAATAGCCACCCAAATAAATATCTATAAGATGATAACGATGCGCTCTCCATTATTAGGTTAGGAGGTGGTATTATTTTTTGTCAATTATAAAAACCTTCCTTTTACAAATGCTTAAATGTAAAAAGAGAAGCAAAACAGCAGGAGGTAGACCTATATTTCACCAACTTTTGCAATGACTTGGCTTACTGATATAGGCAAAGGATGATTGAATTTTTGCCGTTCATGTAGAGCACCTTTTGTTGAATTCTCTGGTGCCAATTTATGAAAATATGTCCTGAGTTGTCATTTCTATGAGACTAGATTATGCCTCTGTTCTTCTTTTGACTCATTCATGTTCTCACTTTCCTTCCTCTTTCTTGCTTCCTCATGCTTGCTTCCTCTCTCTTTTCTTATTACTCTGGGTAGTAATAGTCAGATTGGAAACACTTGACCTGTTTCCAGTGCTATCAGGTTGAACTTTAGGATGGCTTACCAAGTCCTTCACAGTTGGTGCATGTTGACCTGTGGGTTCCTGCCTTGTCATCTCGCCTTTCCCCCCCCAAATGCCAGCCTTACTGGTTTCCCTGTGCAGAAAGAACTGAGATATCTTACCCCTGGGACCTGGAACATGTGATTCCTCGTGCCTCTTCCTTAGTTCCTACTCGTACTCACACACCATTCCTTCCAAGACTCCTTTCTGGACCCATTGAAGTCAGGTTGGGATGGTCATCTTTTATGGCTTTACCTATGACTTGATGGTCTGAGATTTCTCCTGTATCACACTCTGTGATAATTGTTTGCATGAGTGTACGCTCTACTGGATGGCTGAATTGTATTTATTTTATCTAACCTTGTAATACCATGAGGTAGGCACAAAATGGACACTTGGAAAATCTGCTCCAAAATATATAGCGATGATTGTTATTATGAAATCAGAATTTAATTTGAAAGCTATCTTAGTATTGGGAAGGGAGCTTGTAGTGTTATTTTTGATAAAGTGATGCAGAACTGAATGGTTATATATGGAGAGAATAGAATTGTGTTTGACAAACATACACAGTGGTGCTTTTCTATTGTGGCAGAAAGTCAATGAAAAATATTAACTTGCTGAAAAGTCAACTTTATTAAATATTAAGTTGCAACGCTGGGAGAAACCAGTAGATATGGAAGCAGAATGTGAAGTAGCAAGATCTGTGGGTTTATAAAATTAATATTTACTGAGTGTCTGCCATATATGGGTATTTTACTAGTTGCTTTACATGTTTGGTTTCTTTTCATCTTTATGACAGCTTTCTGAAAGGAGGGTGTTATTGTCCATCTTTTACAGATGGGGAAGCTGAGACTCGGAGGGATAACTTTTTCAGGATTCCACAGAAGGGCCAGGACTTGATTGCAGTTCTTCTGATTGTGAGTTCAGTGTTCTTTCAATTGTTACTTTAAAAAAAAAATATTTTTATTGATTTCAGAAAGGAAGGGAGAGGGAGAGAGAGAAAGAAACATCAATGATGAGAGAAAATCATTGATTGGCTGCCTACTGCACACCCCCTACTGGGCATTGGGCCCACAACCTGCCCTTGACCGGAATTGATCCCGGGACCCTTCAGTCCCCAGGCCGATGCTCTATTCACTGAGCCAAACTGGCCAGGGCAAAATCGACATGTTGAAGTCCTATTCTTCAGTTCCTCAGAATGTGACCTTTATAGAGGTAATCAAGTTTCAATGAAGTCATCAGGTGGGTCCTAATCTAATATGATTGATAATAACATGAAAAGGGGGGAATTTGGAGACATGTACACAGGGCAAATGCCAAGAGAGCATGAAGGTGGCCTTCTACAAGTCAAGGAAAGAGGCCTGGAACAGATCCTCCATTCACAGCCCTCAGATGGAACCAACCCTACCTACACTTGATTTTGGACTTCTAGACTCAAAAACTGAGAGACAATAAATCTTGTTGTTTAAGCCATTCAGTCTGTGGTCACATCAGCTCTGGGAAACTAATCCAATCCCATATGAAGTTTCTTAATTGCCCAAATGAGATCTCTGAGATTTTGGTTGACTCTTAGTTATTGATTCTCTCCCCCCCCCCCCCCCCCCCCCCGCAAATGTTTGTAATTATTTTAGCTCTGGAAGAGCTGAGTTAGAGATTGATGTGTTTTTTAATGACGTAAGCTATACCTTTATCATATTATGGATGATTATTTTCACTGTTTTAAGGCCCAGGCAATGCATTCTTCTCCCAGGTTTCCTTGAGTTGCCTGTCACGTGAATACCAGAATGTCCTTTCCTGTTGCATCAGAGCAGGCACATCTTGCTTAGCACACACGTTCCTTAGTTCCGAATCTGTGTATTTGCATTCACGTTAAGCTAGTGCATTGCATATGAGTCCTCAAATAGATAAACTATGTTCTTTCAGATCTCACCATATTATGTTCGCTGTTGTGGGCTTATTTAATTGAGAGAAATCTTTGGGTACTGTAGTTTAAAATTGAGTATTGTCACCATGGAAAAATGAACTCCTTCCAGATTCTCATTTTGAGAAAAATCATGATTAGATGTGTTTTTCAGCCAGGAACATGCTGTACCAAGTTTATTAAATTGATTCAGTGCTTTTTAAAATTTTTCTGATATCAAATAGGGATATAGAGATAATGGCTAGTATCATGGTAGTTTATGAAATGGTGAATACGATACATATAGAGTTTTATTAGAAGTAGACTTGGAATGTTTTTCTTTAAATGTATACCTGATATAGCAAAAAGATGAAGTTTTGGGAGAAAAAACCAAACTAATGAAAGCCATGTATTATATCAAAAAGTAAAAGACACAATACAGATTGTTTTTAGTAAACATTCCAATATCAGTCATAATTTTTTACTTGCCTAATTTTCTAGTGACTATTCATTTTATAAAGAGATTTTAGTTTTTCATTTTTGTTCAAAGAGTGTAGGTAGTAGTCTAAAGAAGAGACGTTTGCTCAAAGCCATTAGCAATGAGATGATGGCTGCCAAACTAGTTTCTTTTATAGAGAGTGCCTATTCCTGTGAGTATTCCTGAAAATTTCTTAGGACAGTCTTAGCGTTCTAAATGGTCTAGAGTTATTTACCTATTTCTGTTGTCACCGAAAAATCTGGGGTAGAAAAAATAACCAGTGACAGTTCTTTTCATTGACCATCTATCAGGCCTCTAGGTGACCCCCTTTGTCTTACGAGACCTGACAGTCTTCTGTTTTCTGTGGAGGCCTCTTTGATTATCCCAGTCTTCATTTCTCTCTGACTTCTCTGAACAGCAGTTAGTAACTCTTAAATCTAGCACATTCCTTATATGTGTGTAAGAGGAGTATTCCAGTACACACTGGTTAGTTGGTCACTCATCCCAAAAATAAGACTTTTTATTATGCAGAAAGGAGCTTAAAGAGAAATTCTTTTCCCCTCAAGTTTCACAAAAGACAGCCATGACTTTGAGACATAATAGGCTTGTAGTAAATATGGCTGAATGAGTTTCTCACTGAACTTAACTCTTTTTAATGTTTAGAACTGAGAAACAACCCTGAGTTTTTCTTGGGCATTGATGTTTATTACTGGGTTGTAGACTTGAAAAGACCCGGAGACCTCACTGGTCCTTGGCAGCACCACAGCGGAAGACCATGGCGTCTGAAGTAGCTGTCTGGGTCCTGATTGGAGCTTCTTTCCTTCACTTTCACTTTGCGACTCTCTGACTCACTGTCTGTATTTGTGAAAGAGGAGTGGCAGTAGTACTTGCTGCATGATTTGTTGTGAAGATTAATTGAGATTTTACATCTAAAATGAGATTTTATATAATATATTTGTATTTGTGTCTGTTATGTAAAATGTTTAGAAGAATTCTGAGATTTAGGAAATTCAAGATGGCTTCACAAGAAAGAGGTATAACATGTTTTAGAAGGAAATATTTTAATATTTGACATTGTTTTGATAACATTTCCAGGTTTGAAAACATAATGGCAGGAAATAGCCTTGTTCTACCCATTGTTCTTTGGGGTCGCAAAGCACCTACACATTGCATCTCAGCAGTACTTTTAACAGATGACGGGGCCACAATCGTAACCGGGTGCCATGATGGACAGATATGCCTCTGGGATCTTTCAGTAGAATTGGAAGTGAGTATCTGAAATGCTTATGGTTCTTTTTAAATATAAGAAACTACTTACTAGAGAAAAACACAGATCAAGAATAATAGTTGACCTCATCATATATTTCTGTGAAATATATTTTGAATAAAATTGGTATTATGCAGACTGATTATTTATATTATTCATCGAAGTTGATTTTTTGCTGGCTTTTGGCTATTTTCAAATATAATCCTATATTATAAAAGGCTTGTGGTTGTAATTCCCTAGCGGTTGCACAACCAAACAATCGGCAGAGCTGCGCGGTGGAGGTGTGGCCCGCAGCTTTGTGTGGCAAGGCCTGGGGGCCCACAGCTCCGCGTGGCAAGGCCTGGGGTCCTGTGGCTCCACGCAGCATGGAGGCAGGGCTCGTGCCTCTGTGCACAGCGAGGCCTGGGGTCCTGCCGGTGTGCTGAGTCTGGGTCTTGTGCAATTTTGTGTGCTGGGTCTCTAGTCTCTGTCCTAAGTGCCATAACACATTACATTTATAATTTGTCAGAATTTTTTTTTACCCATTTTGAAGGAGGCTTCTAAAAATTAACAATTTAAAGTATACATTTTGTTGTATTTATTTTGAAAAATTACTATGTATTTATTGCCATTCTTTATTGCTGTGGATATGCATGTGCAGTGTGTTCTACAGCTGGAACCTCTCAGTAGACAAACTTGGAAAATAGGAGCTGGGGGCACACACGCATGCACATACACGAAGTTCACTTAATACCTGCAATTCACGTATTACATTGTAGGGTTGATTCTGCTTTTTTCTTTTCTCATTTTTTAAATCTCCTTCTTTGGCAACTCTTCCACTGGTTAGGCTTATATGCATGCATACAAGTCGTTTGGTTGATCTCTCCTCCTTACCTCCACCTTCCCCTACCTGAGTGGCTGGGGTGGTGTGGAACACCTGTATACCACCCTGCCCTCCGCTGCTCAGCGCCTGCGTATGCAAATTACCTCCCAGCTTTATTGGGTTAATTTGCATACTCACTCCTGATTGGCTAGTGGATGTCACAAAGGTATGGTCAGTTTGCATCTTTCTCTTTTATTAGTGTAGATTTAACCGGATCCCTAAAAAAAAAAAAAAATTAGTTTTTAAAAATTTGGTATTCATATCAACATATTTGTGTATTTTTAGGTTAATCCCCGGGCATTGTTATTTGGTCATACAGCTTCAATCACCTGTTTGTCTAAAGCATGTGCTTCTAGTGACAAACAATATATTGTGAGTGCATCTGAATGTGGGTAAGTATTTTCTTATTATTTTCCTCATAAGTCTTTATTGCAAATAGTACTAGTGCATTAATAAGTAGGGGAGGTTTTTTTCTTTTGGAATATTTTTTAAATAAATGTTCCAGTTGTCTAAATTTAAAGATATTTAAAAATGTGGTTTTAAAATGTGCATTTTTATCTTTTTTTTTGTTTTAAATATATTTTTATTGATTTCAGAGAGGAAAGGAGAGGGAAAGAGAGATAGAAATATCAATGATGAGAGAGAATCATTGGTTGGCTGCCTCCTGCATACCCCACACTGGGGATCAAGCCGTGACCTCCTGGTTCATAGGTTGAGTCACGCCAGCTGGGTGCATTTTATCTTTATTAATGATTTTTCTAATACTTTTATTATAATTTATTATTATATCTTTGCCTTGCTTTTGAGAAACTCAGAATACTATACAAGTTAAAGCTTTGCATTAATCCCCATAGCATTATCATTGAGTTGGTGAACAACTCAGAGTTTCAAAAACCCTAAAGATGCTAGGCTGGCACAAATTTGGAAGAGGAAGCCAACTTCATCTTGGAAGATGATGTAAAAGTTCACACAGTTATATTAATGTATGTTAATGCAACCATATATATTCCTAAGTCTCAGAAGATAGCTTGCTTTTGGAGAGATAGGTCATTGAACTGTAGTTGTAGGGTTCAGAGTATACGAAAGTTTTAAAACTTTTTTGGAAATTAGAAATTTGTATATTTATACAATATGTTATTGAAGAGAGTTGGGGAGCTGGAAGAGAATTATTTAAGAAGTTATCTCCTCTACTCTACCCTCCTCATAATTTTATGAATTTGAAAAGAACCATGTGTTACTGTCTGGAACAAGAAGAGGCAGCATCAGGTAAAAATATAGTACCTTTTGGTCAATTAAATAACTCACTTTAGAATACATAGTCTAAATAGATGGAGCTCTGCTGGGACCAGTTTGGCTCAGTGGATAGAGCGTCGGACTGTGGACTGAAAGGTTCCCGGGTTCGATTCCGGTCAAGGGCATGTACCTTGGTTGCGGGCACATCCCCAGTGGGGGTTGTGCAAGAGGCAGCTGATTGATGATTCTCTCTCATCGATGTTTCTAGCTGTCTATCCCTCTCTCTTCCTTTCTGTGAAAAATCAATAAAATACATTAAAAATAAATAAATAAATAAATAAATAGATGGAGCTTTTTTGAGATATTGTTTCATACTATGTGAAATTTAGGAAACGGCATTTCAAAGAAAACCCTAATAATATCAGAATCATTACATTTTATTAATGTTCTTTTCTATTAAATAAATCTTAAGTTTATTTCTTTAAAAGATAAGGCATTGACATTCCTGATTTCAAATGTATCTTTTAGTTTGACATATGCTTTTCTGATTGTATTTATTCAATAAAACTTATGTAATAAATACAGAATCAAAACTAGAATATTACATTTAATTTGAAAAGTTTGGAACACAGTCAACTTTTTTATGTGTTTTTCTGCTGTGCTAAATTTTCTAGCCATATGTATAACCATCTCAGAGATGTAAACTAAAAGGTTATTTTTTGTTTTTGTCAGTTGCCCTCATATATCACTTGGGGCTCTGCTCTGCTTTGTTATTATGCTAACTCTGAGGTTGAGGTTGAGGGAGCAATCACTGTCTGAGGCAGCCAGAGGAGAAAGAGTGCTGGAGGGCTTTGGATAGGTTCTGGCCAGAGCTGCTCACAGTGCTCCACCAACCAAAGGGAGCTGGGAGGTGCAGTAGTTCTACCATCTGCCCAGAAAGAATGTGGATGAAGATGAGGGTGGGCAAGCTGGAAAGGATGTTGGGATGGTGAGTGGAGGAACAGAATTTTAAAAAGATATATATATATTTTATTTCAGAGAGGAAGGGATAGTGATAGAAACATCAATGATGAGTGGGAATCATTGATTGGCTGCCTCCTGCACCCTCCCTACTGGGGATTGAGTCCGAAACCTGGCATGTGTCCTTGACGGGAATTAAACCCGGGACCCTTCAGTCCACAGGCCATTCCAGCGAGGGTTGGAACAGAATTTTTTATGAAGAGCAGTAATGACTATACACTACTTTTTTTCTGAAATAGACCAGTTTTAATGGGAGATGAGTTTTAAAAACCACTGTGACAAAGTTGAACGGTGCTTTTTCAAGTCCAATTAAAGTTAGCTATTATTTTGTCTTACAGAGAGATGTGTCTCTGGGATGTGAGTGATGGCAGATGTATTGAATTTACAAAATTAGCCTGCACACATACTGGCATACAGGTGAGTATCTTATTTCTGTAACTGCCTAAGTCAGCACAATTATTAGAGGCATATAATTTAAAACGTTCTTTAAACATTGACCTATATTTTTATATGAAAAATGGGTGGAGATGACAAGAAGACTAGCACTCGTAAAATTATTCCTTATACGATGGTTTGGTGGGGGAGAAAAGAAAGTAGAGGAGACTAATGGGGAGAATAAAGTGGAGGAGACTAATGGGGAAAGATGTAAAGGAAGCTGATTGACACTACTGCTCTGCTCCCACCGGCTCTCCTGGCTCCCCCAGTGCGAGCTGGACGGGTAGTACGTTCTCTGGATCTTAAATAAGGGAATTCGTTCTTGCTGAAGCCTTTATGGTTCCATTCATGATGGACACTAATTAACCCACTTGATGGGTCATATCATTTTCATTGTTTGTATAGTTGGTCATTAGTACATTTTTTGACTTTCCAACTCTATAGAAGAAATGACCATTTCATATCCCTGGCTTACACAAGAATTTACACAGGAATGTACAGTTTCCAACTTATAATCCTTGTATTCTTTCTTACTCTTTCATAATTGTCAGGTTCTTTGTGCTTCTATTTACTCATCATTTACTGTATTGGGAAAATGACAAATATAAAGAAAATATGATTTATGTTCTCAAGGGGGAAGGAGAGGGAAGAGAACTTATATTTATTGAGCAAATATTGTATGAGCATTTATTTATTTATTTATTTATTTATTTATTTATTTTTACATATTTTATGATTTTTTTTTGCCCCCGTCCCTCCCTCCCACACATCCCCTCCCTCCCCAGAGTCTTAAGTCCATTGGTTGTACTTATATGCATGTATACAAGTCCTTCGGTTGATCTATTATCTCCCCCAGATCTCCTCCCCTCACCGCTGTAATTTGACAGTCTGCTGGTTGCTTTACTGTTTCCATATCTATCTTTTGGTTCATCAGTTTATAATGTTCTTCATTATCCACAAATGAGTGAGGTCATGTGGTGTTTCTCTTTCATTGATTGGCTTATTTCACTGTATGAGCATTTCTTGTATGGCATGCTATTTAGTCCTTCCCACATCCTTATGAATTAAATAGGAGAGTATAATTTCACATATAAGGAAACTGAGACCCATACTGATTAAATGACCTGCCGTAGTCTCACAGTGTGTCATTCCTGGTGCCAAATCAGGTTTTTCTGACTCTAGAGACAAAAACAAACAAAAAACACAATAATTTGTTGCAGAAATACAACTGCACTAATACAACTTAGAAAATGTTTGGGGGGGAGGCTGGTGAATAGTGTGACAAAGGTCTTGTTGTGATGGGTTTCTTGTTCTGGCAAAGGCTTTGAAAAATATCTTTTCAACACTCTTAGAATATATGCTTTTTTACTTAAAGGGCATCTATTATTTATCTTTTGTCATGTGAAGAACCATCAAGGTTTATAGAGAGAAAAGGGGTAGTCATTGACTTTTTAGATTAATTGAAAAATTACATATAAATGTCTTAAAGTCATTGGATATAAATATTTTCACTCTTGTATAATTATATGATTTTAAGACTTCTGGTTTACATTTTAGGGAAAATTATCTTTATTTAGTCAACATTTGTTCAGTGCCTACTTTGTCAGATCTCGTAGTAGGTCTCCTGCATTTAAACTGGCAGCTATCTGTAAGTATTATAGAAGATGCTTTCTGGCAGGTTCACTAGTGTGTGACAATTGTTTCCTATGTGATTGTCACCTTTCAGGTCCAGTAGCGAATTGTTTTTTATATACATAGAAGTGGTAAACCTTGGTGACGCTGGCACTTATAAACCACAAGGAAATGCCAATTTATGAGATTATCACGTCGGGGCATCCCTTTTTGATATGTGGAAAAATTGTTTCTCCATTAAGGACACTTTCTTTGCCACTATCACGTGTCTAAGAAGTCAAATTAGTGTTGAAAATATTATTTGGGAGCATAACTTTAAAGCCAGAGGTGAGCGGCATTAGTCAGGCAGGTGATGCAATACCCCTGTTCTCAGGAGAGAGCTCTTTCCAGTGACTGCCATGCGCATGGCTCTGCTGGCTGGTGTGGGATTAGCAGTGACAGAGTTTGCTGCTCTGCACCCATCCTTTGCTCCTTGACATGCCCTCCCTTCATATGGGTCAAGGTTACCTACAGTCACATTATATGTGAGTGCCTGGCAGTCCCAGGGACCTCCAGGTTGTGTCATGTTTTGAATCAACTTTCTGAGGTCTGGAGGTATCTCTTTCAGTAATCTGCATTTTATTACACCCTCTCCTATAAACTACCTTGCATTAACTTAATGTGCTCCTTGATCTGATCAATGCTTATGTTTAAGCGGTTGTAGTCCTTCTTAAACAGAGTATTCCATATCCTTCACATGCAGTGTTGAGCTCTGAGAACAGACAGGGCTAATGGGTGTGGGATCAGATTGTACCCAGGTTCCTTAATGATGTCCCAGGTGCCGAGTGGTTACAGCATTGCCCTTTGTGCTGTGTCTAGCTTGTCCTCATTTATTTGTATAAGGTCCAATCCTTGTGAAGTAATACTCGAAGTCAGATGTCTTCACCTCCTAAAAATCCTCTAAGGAAATCATTCTACAAAGAGAGTAATGATATGTTGATGCTAAGAGAGGCAGGCCATTTGATAAGTTGTTGGTCTTGTTTTGATAGTTATTCTTCCTTTGCTCTTTTTTTTTTTTTTTTATAATTTTGATTCTTTTTAAAAAAATATATTTTATTGATTTTTCTCAGAGAGGAAGAGAGAGGGATAGAGTGTTAGAAACATCGATGAGAGAGAATCATAGATCAGCTGCCTCTTGCACACCCTCCACCGGGAATGTGCCCGCAACCAAGGTACATGCCCCTGACCGGAATTGAACCCGGAACCTTTCAGTCCGCAGACCGACTCTCTATCCACTGAGCCAAATTGGTCCTGGCTTCCTTTGCTCTTTTGTTGATGGAAACCAACCTTATCCTTTGGAGTTATTCTTGGCATGAGTAATATGTAGATCGTGATTGTATAGGTTCTATTTTTCTCCCACAAAGTGTAAATGTGTACCATGAGACTGGTTAACAAAATTGTCCCATACTTTAGTCTGAAATAACCCACTTATATTAATCAGAATTTACTTCTGATTATAATATGTTTGAATAGCAGTCATTTTTACCTCTAAATTTTATTTGGTCATATCTAGTAATTATAATCCTATATCTATTCTCCATTCATCTAAAATTTATATTATTTTTGTGACCCATTAAGCTTTCCTTTTGCTTTGATTTATGAAGCTGATTTTTAAGAAAATCGTTTTTTTAATTGATTTCAGACAGAAAGGGAGAGGGAGAGAGAGATAGAAACATCAGTGATGAGAGAGAATCACTGATTGGCTGCCTCCTGCACACCTCACACTGGAGATCGAGCCCACAACCCGGGCATGTGCCCTGACCAGGAGTAGAACCCATGACCTCCAGGTTCATAGGTTGATGCTCATCTACTGAGCCACGCTGGCTGGGCAATGTCAAGCTGATTTTACTCAGGTGTTTTATTACTTCATTCAACAGTCCTGTTTTCGATGATGCAGGAGGATAAAAAAGAATCATTATGAATTTTCCAAAGTAGTTCAAAGGGGAGGATAAGATGTTAGGAAAATAATAATATTTGGTAGATAGTTTGAAAATATTAACATAACTTGGTGTGTGTACGTGTATACATAGGTATGTAATATATATGTAATATATTACATATAATATGCCATATATTACATGTCTGGAAGTATTACTGAAGAAATTGAGCCTCATACAAAGCTTGATGAATGCACATGAATCTTTTTCCTTATAGTTCTATCAGTTCTCTGTTGGAAATCAGAGAGAAGGAAGGCTTTTATGCCATGGCCATTATCCTGAAATCCTTGTTGTGGATGCCACCAGCCTTGAGGTGTTATACTCCTTAGTATCAAAGATATCTCCTGACTGGATCAGCTCCATGAGTATTATTCGATCCCACCGAACACAAGGTCAGTATATGGTGCCCCGTAAGAACTTCAGCTCTATGACGTAATGGTTAATTTACTGTAGAGTTCATATGATACATCATATATCAATGTATTTAGTTATATTCTTCTATTTAAGAAATAGCTAATAATTTATGGTCTGTCTCTAATTTCAGAAAGGAATTTTTGATTGGATTAAGGCTTAAAGTGTTAGATTATCTCCATCCCATGGAATAGATCACTAGCTTTTGGCAATCTTAGTGTGTGGGGTGATTTCCTGAAAGGGAGGATGAATATCAGAACCCCTTGCAGGAATCATGGGAGGAACCATAGTTTCACTTGTGTATTTCTTGGGCCTGGGGGAGGAGGGCGGGATGGGGTCGGGGTAGTGTCCCTCAACCTGGCCTGTACCCTCTGCTCCTCCTCAGGGGATGTCCAACTGCCAGTTTAGGCCCAATCCCACAGTCAGACATCCCTCTCGCAATCTGGGACAGCTGGCTCCTAACTGCTCACCTTTCTGCCTCCCTGATTACCCCTAATCTTTCTGCCTGACTGCTTGATTGCCCCTAACTGCTCTCCCCTACTGGCCTGATTGCCCCTAACTGCTTTCCCCTGCCAGCCTGATCACCCCTAACTGCCTCTGCCTTGGCCCCCACCACTGTGGCTTTATCTGGTCTAATTAGCATATTACCCTTTTGTTAATGTAGATAATGAAAAGGAAGGGAATTATGCATAGTTAAATTTAATGAAAGTTCCTGATATGTTTTCTCCGAAGCTTATGAATTTAGGTTTTATATCATGTGTTTCTTTTGATCATGATAGGTGATAATGTGCAATAAAATGTCTAGAAAAAGCAATGTCTAGAAAATGTCAAACTCACAGCCAATGGGTTACATGCATTGTTTAAATAAACCAGACATGCAGGCAATGTAGAGGGAAAGTGGATAAATAAGTGCCTTGAAAATAAAGTGAGTCTGCTCATTCTTGATAAATAATTTAAAAATATGAATTTTGAAGATAAAAGTTCTTTGTTAACATAGTGATCAAGAACATTTGATATTATCAAAAACTTGTTTACAAATCTATATATATAAAAGCCTATGTGACTGAATGTCAACTGGTTGATATGACATGCATTGACCACTAGGGAGCAGATGCTCAAAGCAGAAGCTGCCCCCTGGTGGTCAGTGCACTCCCACAGCCAACCTCCACAGCTAGTGAACCTCCTGTAGATCCTGCCTTCAGCCAGCCTGCCCGGATGGCTGCATTGGAACCTCCTGTAACTCCTCCCCATGGCTGGCCAACCTTCCATGGCTCCTCCCCTTGGCTGGCCAGCCAACCTCCCGGGCCACTCTCCCTGGCCAATCCTGATTGGTCCTCATTGTTGGCAAAGCTAAGGAACTTTACCTGTGCATGAATTTATGCACCAGGCCTCTAGCAAAAAAAAAAATTTCAAGTAGCTAGAAAAAATTCCTCCTTGAATTAAAATTTTCAGTCATCTCTATTATGCTTCAAATCTGGTTTCTATTATTTCATGAAATATAGAATTATGCTTTTATGTCAGTTGTAAAACATATTGTTATTTAATTTAATTAAGCAAACCCTGTTCCATATTACTGATAAGAATATATCAGTAATATATTCTTATCAGTAATATTCCTGATAAATATTGTTATTTAATTTAATTAAGCAAACCCTGTTTCATATTACTGATAAGAATTCCATGTGACCACGTTACTGTTTAGAAACAGTGTATTTTGTTAATCCTCACCTTGAGGATATTTTTCCATTTATTTATTTATTTATTTATTTATTTTTAAATCAATCTTTATTGTTCATATTATTACAAAGGTTCCTCATTTCTTCCCCCCTCCACCAGGTTCCTTCCATTGATTTTTAGAGAGAGTAGAAAGGAGGTAGAGAGAGAGAAAAAAATTGATGAGAGACACAGTGTATTGTATTTGTAACATTGGCTTTTCATTCCTTCTTGGCTTAGAGGACACTGTGGTAGCACTCTCGGTGACGGGCATCTTGAAAGTGTGGATTGTTACCTCCGAAATAAGTGGCATGCAGGTGAGACAAATGAGACTGGATTAATTTCTCTGTTTTCCTTCTCAGGTAGTCTTAAATGTTCATAATGATAGTATCTTCTTTTCTTAAAAGGGAAGGGAAAGCTAATCTTTTTTAATAGTCTTATTGACATGGTCTAAAAGATCTACAATGCGGTCTCTAAATGAGTCAAGTTTTTCACTTTTCATTGTACACATTTGCCATATCAGGGATAGAATTAGAGAAACATATTGCACAGGATAGGATGTAGAGAAATGTATAGAAGTGGTAGCACTTTCCTCAATTGCTTCTATTTAAGTTAAAAGGTAGTTTGCTCTAAGGAAAGAAAAATAAAGAAAACCATTACAAAACATATATAAAGCCAATTTTAGTTCCCTCTCTCTGTTCTTTGGGCTTGATTTTTTTGTTATATTTCTTATCAGAAAGGAGGTCAATTTTTGGACAATAATTGATGCTAGTCTCTTCAGCTAGGGAATTTTTAGACATTCAATCTGTGAGAAACTGGAGGAATTGATCAGTTTTTGTTGTTGTTTGTTTTTTTTACTTAAAAGCACATATAGCTACAAAAATTAGGGTTTACTGAAAACTTTCATCATCTGTTATTGTGATGATATTCTGATTCTCATCAGTATTTTATTTTATTTTTAAAAATTTCTTTATTGATTAATGTGTTATATATGTGTCTTTATTCCCCCATTACCTGCCCTCCATTCCCCGCCCCCTTATGCCCTCACCCCCTGTTGTCTGTGTCCATTGGTAGAGCTTATATGCATGCATACAAGTCCTTGGGTTTATCTCTCCCCCTAACCCCTCCCCTACCTTCCCTCTGAGTTTTGATGGTCTGATTGATGTTTCTCTGTCTCTGAATCTGTTTTTGTTCATTAGTTTATGTTGTTTAATATCTATATATCTATATATCTATATCTATATCTATCTCTATCTAATCTATCTATCTATATCTATATCTCATCAGTATTTTAATCTTGAGTACCTTTGTAGCAGAGATGTCATGCCCAGATGTTTTCATAATGCATTTGTATTGTTTTTTACTGCTGTGGTTCTCACAGGAGGGGTTAAAATCATGACCATCAAGCGATGTCTTTATTTCATTTTGTTTTCTTTATCATTGTGTGATAATTTTAATTGACAACCAAGTCATTCCTAAAATTTTGCAAATCTTTCTCTTTTCAGGATACTGAGCCAGTATTTGAAGAAGAATCCAAACCAATTTACTGTCAGAATTGCCAGAGCATCTCCTTTTGTGCATTCACACAGCGGTCACTTTTGGTTGTGTGCTCCAAATACTGGCGGGTAAGATCATTGTATAAGGAAGCAGTTGCATTTTTACCCTGTTGGTTTATCAGGTTCCCAAAAAATGTCAGGACAAGTTTGGTGCAAGAGGTTAACCATTTGGTATTCATATGTGGTTTTGATATTATGTTTTGAGGTGTTGGGATTTGGCCCCATATAGTTCTGTTTTTTATTTGTTTATAGAATGATTCAGTTAATGATTGTTATTCTGTAGATTTTAATTTCTACTTTTGCTGCTGTTTTAGTCATTATCTTGTCAGTGTAACATAAGCAGTGGCAGTGTTTGACATGTCTTTGCAGGTTATTATTTTAGGTTCCTATTCTGTCCTAACTTCTTAGCGTCAGGAAGGTCTTTCTTCATCACTTCAAAGCTGATGAAGGTGTATATTGCTTCCACATTGCCAGACTTGAACATTTCTCTTTAAAAAAAAACAAAAACAAAAAAACAAAAACAGATTTTTTTTTTTATTGATTTCAGAGAGGAAGGAAGAGGAAGAGAGAGGTAGAAACCTCAATGATGAGAGAGAATCAATGATCAGTGCCTCCTGCACATGTCCTAATGGAGATCAAGTCTGTAACCCAGGCATGTGTCCTGACTGGGAATCAAACCATGACCTCCTGATTTGTAGATCGATGTTCAACCACTGAGCCATACTGGCTGGTGTGGCTTTAATATTTTCATAATAGAAAAGGTGTCAGCATGCTTTGATTGCTTGTACCAAAGCTTTCCCTGTTTTATTTCTTGTAATCCTTCTCATCTCAGAGGGGAGATGTATTAGTTATCTAATCCTGCATAACAAAAATCACTCCAAACTAGACCACAGACATGTAGCATCACCCATCTGTAGCATGTATCATCACCCGACCTGTGGGTCAGGAATCCAGGAACTGCTTAGCTGGCACCTGCACAGGGTCTCTCACATGCTACAATCAAGTGTTAGCAGGGAATACTGCCTCATCATAAGGCTCACCTTGGGAGGGTCTGCTTCAAAGATTACTAACATGGCGGCGGGCAGGCCTCAGGTCCTCCTGACAGGTGGCTGGACACTTTTCTTCCTTGTCACCTGGGCCCTTCCATTGGACAGGCCACAGCATGGGTGCTGTCTCCCCTCAGAGTGAGCGCACGAGAGAATGTGTAGCCGAGACCCACCTAATTTTGGAACCAAGATCCAATCTGCCACATTCAACCGTCTAGAAGCAGTCACAAAATCCAGCCCACATTCGGGGAGAGGTTTACACAAGGATCTAAATAACAGGAGTCTGGGATCAGGGCAGCAGTCCCAGAGGCTGCCTACAGCAGTAGGAATGTTGCTTTCCACGTTTCGTAGATAAGGCATCTGAGGCGTAGGGGGTGATAAATAGCTTGGCTAAGGCTCTAAAGTGGCAGTGGAATTGTTGGATTACAGCTCAGGAAGTCTGCCTCCAACAGCTCTATTACCACCAGGCAATGCACAGCACAGACTAGATCACAAATTTCTTCTTCCTTGTAGGTATTTGATGCTGGAGACTATTCCCTGTTGTGTTCAGGCCCCAGCGAAAATGGACAGGCATGGACTGGAGGTGACTTTGTGTCAGCAGATAAAGTAATCATTTGGACTGAAAATGGGCAAAGTTATATTTACAAACTACCTGCCAGGTATTCAATAAATAATAACATAGGACTTCAATCAAAAGCAAAAGATTCTGAATTTGGGGTATAACCTGGAAGTATGCAAATGCATATAGTATCAATATTTAATATGGGGAAAAAGATTTAAAGTGAGTTAAAAAAGTCACCTAGAACTTAAGTTAGGTAAGTAATTCCACTTTAACCTCTAAGTACAATGTAGGCGTATTTTATTTGAAATAGGATATTTTAATGATGTTCATTCGTGCTAAATTAATTTAATTATAACTTAAAAAAACATTTTCATTTATGTTAAAACTGTCATATGACCTGACAAAATGTTCAATGTCAGTATTTTAATTGGATGATGTATTTTTCTCATTTTCAGTTGCCTTCCGGCTAGTGATTCATTTCGTAGTGATGTGGGGAAAGCAGTTGAAAATTTAATCCCTCCTGTACAACATAGTCTCTTGGATCGAACAGATAAAGAGGTAAAATTTTTTAGGTACCATTTGTAATTGGTATGTTGGAAAATTTTCATAATTATATTTTTTGATGTATTTTGGTAGCATATTATTTGAAAGGTTCAATATAATTCAAGGCACTGTGAAATTCTTTACACGATCAATTGTAAGCACGATTTTAATATTTGCATATCTTATACATAGTATGCCTATAATATAGCATTCATCGTTCTCTGAGAATACAAATGACTTAATGCTGATTACATACTGGAAATGACTTTTGATAAAGTTCATGTTGATGGTGCAAATATATTTTATGCTATTAGGCATCTATTAGCACAGTGACAGATGGAATGCCCTTTTAGAAGGGCAAGATCATCATGTAATAGTGCTCACTAATAACAATTCATTATTTGAACAAGGCATTGCATTATCTCCCTAAACCACAGAAAGATTTAAATCATTAGGCTTTAGAAATGAATAATAAAAGAAAATTTTCTCTCTAAAAACAAGTTTATAATGATTTCTTAAAATTTACAACAGCACAAAGTTATAAGTTTTCAATTCTTAGTACTGGATTTTCAGTAGTAAGAAAGCTTTGGTTTTGGAAATACAGTTTTCTTTATTTCTAGGTTTCCACAGTTTTTTGTTCTGAGAATTTTGTTCCATTGTTATATGGAGAGATGATGAGGGAAAGGGAATCATTATTTACCATGAAATTTCTTAATATATAGAATTTATATATCTATGTGTAACTAAGATCTTCTATAACCTATCCTTTTCTCTTAACTTCAACTTCAACTTACTGCTCTTTAGCCTAGACCAGTGGTCGGCAAACTCATTAGTCAATAGAGCCAAATATCAACAATAAGATGATTGAAATTTCTTTTGAGAGTCAAATTTTTTAAACTTAAACTATATAGGTAGGTACATTATTATTAACTTAATTAGGGTAATCCTAAGCTTGCCTTTGCTAAAAACTCAAGGGGCTAAAGAGTCGCATGTGGCTCAAAAGCCACAGTTTGTCGACCACTGCTCTAGACAATCACTTCTAGTAAAATGAAGGGATAGTGATTTTATAAAAAGTGTATACAAAACAAAACAAAAATAAGCACATTCCATTTTAAAAATGTATATATAAATTCCCCAGTACATTTTAAATCAAAATGTATGAATATTTGGTGTCAGATACCCATGTAGTGAAATATATAATATTGGTTATTACAGCTGTTGTAGTAGCAACTTCTCCTTGTTCAGCATGTTATCGAAGAAAACTTTTAGTAATTTTCAGAATTGATTATGCTTAAAAATATATATATATATATATATATATATTTCTGTAGGCTAGTGCTTTCTAGGAAAGTAGTTAATACCAAATCAATAATTAGATTATTTGACTATAATTGCAAAGACTGAAATCTATTTATTACTGTTTTTTATGATAATGTTCTATGTTTTAACATTCAAGTATCTGTGAATGAATACTCCAAACTTTAATTTTAAGATTCTACCGCTGTTTTAAAATTTTCAAATAAGTGATCTCACTGAAGACACAGGATCTTAAGCAGAAAAGTAATTTGTTTGAAAATGAAAATATGTACAAGACCCTAATGAATGTATTTTGTTCCTAGTAGTTTATTGCTAACATATCAGGCTATGTTCGAATTGATTATGTAAATGTGATGAAATGAAATGTTATACTGTTGGCTGAAGAATATGCTCATTTTTATTTATTTTTTATTTATTTATTTTTTTAAAATATATTTTATTTGATTTTGTACAGAGAGGAAGGGAGAGAGATAGAGAGTTAGAAACATCGATGAGAGAGAGTCATCGACCAGCTGCCTCTTGCACACCCCCTACTGGGGATATGCCCGCAACCAAGGTACATGCCCTTGACCGGAATCGAACCCGGGTCCTCCAGTCCCCAAGCCGACGCTCTATCCATTGAGCCAAACCGGTTTCGGCAGAATATGCTCATTTTTAAAAAAATAGAGCCTTCCAGTTGCACAGCCTGGTAGTTTAAGTTTGCTGCTCTTACTAGTGACTAATCAGGAATGGACAAAAGGTCAGGATTAGCCAGTTTTCCCTTTTGACCTTTAAATGGAGACTTTTTGTTTTGATAAAGAATACCATGTTTTATATTAACTATGTAATAACAGACAGTTCAGTAAGTTGTATTATTGTGGTGACTAATCAGTTTTTATAAAACAGCATAAATATAAAGATACAATTCTATAGAGAGAGTATATAATTTTTATTTCTTCGTGTTATGCTGGATTTCAATGTTAATTGGCATGTATATCAATGTTACAAAGTTACATTAAAATACTGTTAGGTGTTATAAACACTTTTTCTTTTTCTGGTACTGAGGCAAAGTACTTAACATCCTTATCTGAAAAATAAAATGTTAATGTGTGAATATTTTTATTAAAAAAGCTAAATATATTTGAACAATTTTTTTTTTCAGTTGCTCATTTGCCCTCCTGTTACTCGGTTCTTCTGTGGAGCCAGGGGATACTTCCATAAACTACTAATTCAGGGGGACTCTTGCGGAAGATTGAATATTTGGAAAATCTCAGACACACCTGAGAAGCAGGAAGTTGAAGAGACAAATAGTAAATCAGGTACAGTGATTTCTTTTTATTTATTTTTTTATTTTATATTTTATTGATTTTTTACAGAGAGAAGGAGAGAGGGATAGAGAGCTAGAAACATCGATGAGAGAGAAACATCGACCAGCTGCCTCCTGCACACCCCCCTCCGGGGATGTGCCCGCAACCAGTGTACATGCCCTTGACCGGAATCGAATCCGGGACCTTTTAGTCTGCAGACCGATGCTCTACCACTGAGCCAAACTGGTTTCGGCAGGTACAGTGATTTCTTAATTTAACAACCTAATTACTAACCACTGGACAACAGATTCATAATGTCATATTCCATTTTCTTCTTAGAATCATGTTTGATGACAGTTATTCTTTGGTATATTACTAAATCAACTATAAGCATGCTTATTTTAATATGTAAAATTTTTTTTTAACATGCTCAATGTTTTTCTTTTATACAAAACCAAACCTCTACAGGGTTGGAAATCACAACTTCTGTTAGTTTGCAAGAAGCATTCGATAAGCTCTACCCTTATCCAGCTGGAATTATAGATCAGCTGAGTGTGATCCCCAATAGCAATGAACCTCTTAAAGTAACAGCAAGTGTGTACATACCAGAACATGGACGACTTGTTTGTGGCCGCGAAGATGGGAGCATCATTATTGTACCTGCCACGCAGACAGCCATCGTCCAGCTGCTGCAAGGGGAACACATGCTCCGAAGAGGTATACTGACGACCTTCAATGTCTAAAGTGTCCAGAAAGCTCTGTACTGTGATAGCGACAATGTTGGCAGGCTTTGTTTTTACCATATACAGTGAATCAGTGTAGCTGTTAGTGTGCTGTGTGGCTGATAAGAGTTTAATGCGCAGATAATAAAATACTCAGTGCCCATTCTTGGGGTAAATACCACCTAATGACTGTGAATAAAGAAGTATCCAGTTTTATCTCTTTGATGTATATTAAGACTTACATTTATCAATAGTTAACCTCTATGGTTTACTAAATAATGAAGTTTATTGTTATTAATACTGATAATCTTTTAGAACAGTACTGCCCAGTGGAAATAGATATATGTAACAATGTACATAATTTTATAATATCCACATTAAAAATGTGAAAATGAAGCAGGTAACATTACATTTAATAGTATGTTTTATTTAATTCAATATAGCAAAATTGTTTTTACTTCAGTGAGATACTTAACGTTATTATTTGTTATCCTAAGTCTTTGAAAGCTCATGTGTATTTTACATTTACAGCACACATGAGTCTGGACTAGCCACCTTTCACATGCTCAGTGGTCTCATGTGGCTCGTGGCTACTGTATTGGGCAGAGCAGTTTTAGGAGATAAAACCAGAAGCCTTTTCTTTGATAAAACTTATAGCCATTTTGACAATTCATGTTTGCTTTTATTTGTTGAAACTTTGTAAGACTTTTATTTTCCCATTTTAAATCCAAACCCTCATTCACAGGTTGGCCACCTCACAGAACACTCCGTGGTCATCGGAACAAAGTCACATGTTTGCTATATCCTCATCAGGTCTCCACTCGTTATGATCAGAGATATCTGGTATCTGGAGGTGTGGATTTTTCGGTCATAATTTGGGACATATTTTCTGGAGAAATGAAACATATCTTCTGTGTGCATGGTGGCGAGATTACTCAACTCCTGGTTCCACCTGAAAACTGTAGTGTAAGTTGGTCAAAAATGATTACTTTACTGTGATAGAGCCGAGTCACGTGGCTATAGGCTCAATATGAGTAGAGCCTAGCTGAAACCTGTTTGGTTCGGTGGATAGAGCATCAGCCTGCGGTCTGAGGGGTCCCTTAGTTTAGTTTTAAAAAGTGATTATTTTTCATTTACATCTTGTTAAACTTTTAAGGTCACATAATTTCCCAAAGTATCCAGAAGAGGGCAGCATGGGCTTGTGAAACAGGAGTGCAAAGTATCCAAACTAAATATTGGAGTTTGTGCCTTCATTTGAAGTATTTCATCCTTAGCTCTTACAGACAGAAATATAATATGAATGGTATGTGTGACTATATGTGTGCAATGCGGCTAACATTCACAGCTGGTAAGAGCAATTAACAAATGAGGTTTTTCTTAGAATGTACTCTACTTTTCAGTCTGAAAATGTACCTAACGCTTTTGCCTGAATTAGCTCTTTTTAAAAAATATATATATTATATTGATTTTTTACAGAGAGGAAGGGAGAGGGTTAGAGAGTTAGAAACATCAATGAGAGAGAAACATTGATCAGCTGCCTCCTGTACATCCCCTACTAGGGATGTGCCCGCAACTAAGGTACATGCCCTTGACTGGAATCGAACCTGGGACCCTTCAGTCTGCAGGCCGACGCACTATCCACTGAACCAAACTGGTTAGGGCCTGAATTAGCTCTTATCTTACTTTTGAATTTGGACTTTTGTTATTCTTTTAACTTGAATACTACATTTAAAAAACAATGTCTATCATTATACCATAGTCTCTGAAGCCAAGCAGGGTACACTTTGGAAATATAAATTAAGCAAATGCAAGAAATAGACCTATCATTTCCATTAATTTTCTACAATATAACACAGTCGACATAATGTTCTGCAACATTCTTATATTCCTGTAACACTTGGTTCTATTAGATTTTGACATCTGATTTTTTTTTGCATTCAGTACTTTTTGAAATTAATTTTTATTTGTTTTAAGTTAAATAACACATTGTTTAATATATGTAAGATACACATATTTTCTATGTCACTAAGTATTCTAATGCTATTTTAAATATTATTCTGTAGTTTATTGAAATTTATCAGAAAATTTAGAATGTTGCTTTATTAAACATTTTTTCTCTTATCAACAGTGGGGGTGAAAATTATTATAGCTAAGTATGTTTGCATATGTGGAATGTTTTTTTTAGGATAAATTCTTAAATGTGGAATTGCTGTATAAAAGGGCATATTAATTTTTAAAAGCTTTTTAATAGATATTGCCAAATTGTCCTTCATTTGAATTTAGGAATAGGATTATACAACCATCATTTTACCCCCTTCATTCTGCATTATCCTGCCTATAATTGTTTAGTCTTGCTAATTTAGTCTTGTAAGTAGGTGTGTGTAGCATATGTGCAAGTATATAGTACTCGTTTTTATTTTGAAAGCATAAATGTGTTTATATACCAATACTATATAAATTGTTCATTCATATTGATTTATATTTTATTTATAATTTTATGTTTTCTAGATTTTTACCACTATTATATTACTATTATATTGAAGATAAAAATATATAAAAATATTCCTGCTGTGGATACTATCTATGTATTCAAATATAGAAAACCCTGTTTCTTATGTCAGAAGCTGAAATATCAGTGATGCACTGAGAGTGTCAGTGAGGGTTCCTTTAGGCAGTAATGAGAAGGACCACATGTGCTGATATCGTGCCAAACATTTTAGAAATTCCTCTATTTTGAAAGGTTTCTTTAGATTTTAAGTTACACCCTTGTAGTGGAGAAGATTGCATTGGTATAAATTTATTCTTAGTAAGTCAGAAGTGATTAGGTGCTGAACTTTGTTAGTGAAGCGGTTGATTTTGATTTTTTATTTGGGGCTTAAAAGATAGTAGGACACAGAGCAAAGACTACTTTTTTTTTGAGTAACTTGATCACAAATCAATTTCAAAATGAGTTAAAATTTCTCTTAAAATGGCAGAAATTATTAGAAAAAAAACAAATGACTTTTAAGGTGGCTATGATTAGGTATAATATATTTTTATAGTAATTTATTTAGCAAATATCTGAGTGCCTGTCATATTCCAGGCACCTTTGAAGACCAGACATATTATAGTGGACTAGAGACCTGGTGCACAAAATTCATGCACTGGGTGGGCGGTGGGGTCCCCTCACCTTGCCTGCACCCTCTTATAGTCAGGGACTCCTTGGGGGATGTCTGCCTGTGGGGAATCAGGCCTAACCCAGCAGCCAGACATCCTTCTCTCAGTCTTTGGTCCTCGCTGCCTGGACCTCAGTCTTTGGTGCTTGCTCCTTACTGCCACCGTGGCTGTGCTCGCTTCTGGCTGAGCGGCACTCCTCCTGTGGGAGCACAGTGACCACCAGGGGGCAGGTCCTGCATTGAGCTCCTGCCCCCTGTGGTCAGTGCACATCATAGCGACTAGATTTGCATATTAAGGTTTTATTATATAGGACCATAGGCTCAGTGCATGAACTCATGTACCTTGAAAGAAACTGGGCCCTGAGGCTGTGGTGGGCCCAGGAGTAGGTCTCAGCCCATCCTCCATGCCCCTGCCTGGCCCCTCCCACCACGGGCCCAGTCTCCTGCCTGCCTGCAGCCCTGCTCCCACCACTGCCACTCACACCTGCTGATGTTGTAGAGCAATTAGGGCCGACGCCAACAGCGGGTGTGAGGAGGACCAGCTCCATCAGCAGGCTTGAGTGGCGGCTGCCCTCCCCCCCCCATCACGTCTTAGGAGCAGGGGGAGATGGAGAAACCCTCAGGGGTGATAGGGGTCAGCACTTGACACTTATACGCATCTGCTGATGGTGCCCAGTGATCAGGACAGGCACCCGGCGTCAGCAGTGGGTGCAAGCCGGGCCGGTGCTGGCAGTGGGTGCACGTGGCAGCTCTGGCACCAGCAGCAGGTGTGAGCAGGGCCATCACCAGGAGCAGGTGCAAGAGGTGGCTGCCATCCTGATCTCCCCTCAGAAGCAGGGGAGGTGGAGAATTCCTGAGGGGCGATCAGGGCCAGTAACAGCTACTCTCACCTGCTGACAGCACCGAGCAATCAGGGCTGGTGCTGGGCATTGACAGTGAGTGCGAGCACCCAGTGGGACTGCAGGGTATGGGAGCAAAGAATTTCCAGTAACCACCAGAAGTCTCCCTGAAGACAGCGACTGGTACCCTGCCTTGGTCTGGTGTCCCCACTCATCTGCTCCACCATCCTGCTGCAGCCAATGCCTGCCATGTTATGAATGCACCCCCTTGTGCACATCATAGCGACTGGTTGTTTGGTTGTTTCGCTGTTCAGTCTATTCTCATATGAGGGTTTTATATAAATTGATAAGGCATAGTGCCTGTTCAATAGAATTTCATCTAACGAGGGAGTCAGAATAGAAAACAAGCAATTGTTATGCAGCATGATAAACACTTAGAAGTACTTATTCTGTGACCTCCCTGAGTGCGAGGCCCTCAGGAAGATTCTAAATGGGGTGCCTAGTAAACTTAGGGGGTTTGAGGAGATTTCCAAGAAGGATGATATCTACTTGAATTTATTAGTTTGTTTGTTTATTTATTTATTTATTTATTAGTGTTATCGGGTGTATTAAATGTGTTTTGGAAGTATATGAATGTCTTAGTTTTGTGGAGGGGTATGAAATCATACATACGTGAACAACCTCTGTTTGCAGAGGTACTTAGTATGAGATGGGGAGTAGTTTGAAGCACGTGAGAAGTTGCTGTGACTAGTACCTGATGGCTCTAATATCACAAACACTGATAGGAATTAGCATATTTGTAAATTACTTTGAAAAGAATGACCAAGAAATCAGAGTAATGGTTTTGTTTGTGCTGTGGGCTAGTTGTAGGTGAGCCCATTAGGGCACATGGTTTCATCCTATGTAGGAAGAGTATTTGAAAGAAAGCAGTGAAGATGATAAAAATATGAAACCCTGCTCAAAAGTAAAATATGTGAGCTATTCTTTCAAAACAAAGATTTGGCAAGAGTAAAGTGAAATATGTATTAAAAACAACAAAAAATGGCAGTTATTCTATAATGATTTTTATTTGGAGTCATAATCAGTGGTCTTCCTCAGACGTTGGTGAAAACTCTCTGAAGGAGTTGTAGACCACTTTCTGCTGTAAGGAGTGGATCCTACACCAAAGAGCTGCCTGTTGGTCACGTCAGCGAGAACAGGGCCTTTAGAACCAAACAGACCTAACCCTTTCTTCATAGTTATCTTCTGTGCGTAGTGAATGCATGATGTTTAAAATAGCCCCCAGAAGCCTTAATTTTCATATAAAACATAAATATCCAGTTAGGTGGTTTGTCAGTATTTTTTTTTTTTTTTGGTTTTATTTTCTAAAATAGCTGTTTTAAAAGAAAAACACAGCTCTCTCCTTTTTTAAATAGAAGGATAGGCTATGGATTTCTGAAGAAAAAAATTAGTTTTATGAGAGTGGAAATGAAATTAATATTCATAGGTTCTTATTTTCCCTTTAGGTAGAATATTTAGAAGTGATAAATGATGCATTTTAAATGCACATTTATGTTCCAGAGAAAGAGTTCTGGGAAGTACAAGAAATAATGATGAAGAGAACAGTGGGATTGATTTATGAGTGAAAGAAGCTGGTCATTTATAGCTTGTCTCAGGATGGACATATTTATAAAGGAGAGACACGAGTTAAGTGTTCATATATTTAAAGAATATTCAGACAAAGAGAATAGTTATTTGGGGAAGCTAGGAGATTGTTTCTGAAATGATAGGAAGAAAAAGAATAATTTAGTTTAGCAAACAAACTAGCAAAAACCAGGACAAAAATGTAGTTGACATTGGGAACTGTTAGAAAGCAAGTCACCTCCCCAGGGAGCTAGTAGATGGGATAAACTCGCTGTCTCTGATTTCTGTAACTCATGGCAGATGCTGAAGAACAGGTTACATAAGAGGTTTCTGGGAATGGTTTAAAATT